GGATGAATGCATGGATGGATGGATGGATGAATGGTTGGATGGATGTGCAGATGATAGATGGATCAATGCAAGGATGGATGGGTGGATGTGCAGATGATAGATGGATCAATGCATGGATGAATGCATGGATGAATGGTTGGATGGATGTGCAGATGATAGATGGATGAATGCATGGATGGATGGATGGGCAGATGGATGGATGGATGGGCAGATGGATGGATGGATGGATGAATGCATGCATGGATGGATGCATGCTGGGTTATGGGCTGATGAATGGAAGCATACAAGGATGGATGGATGGATTATGGGCAGATGGACATGGGTAGATGGATGGATGGTTGGATGGGCAGATGGATGGATGGATGGATGGATGCATGGATGGGTTATGGGCTGATGGATGGATGGATGGACAAATATGTGGATGGATGCATGGATTATGGACTGATGGATGCATTGTCGGATGGATAGAGATGGATGGACAGATAGGTAGATGGATGCATGGATGATTGATGCATGATAGATAGATAGATAGATAGATAGATAGATAGATAGATAGATAGATAGATAGATAGATAGATAGATAGATAGATAGATAGATAGATAGATAGATAGATAGATAGATAGATAGATAGATAGATAGATAGATAGATAGGAACTCTCATTATATGTAAAAATAGCAGACAGGTCTCATCCCTGCAGTGATGATGTGATATTCCCTAGTTCCTCCTGATCCAGCGCTCAGCGGCGGAGGAATGACAGTATGAGATGAGTTAGTTAGGCTGGACCCGCTGACTAATGACTCGAGCTCTCAGTCAGTCAGTGTGTTCAATGGGTTAATTCATGTTCTGTGAGGAATCTATCTTCTTCTTTCTCTGGAACCTGCTATTTCTTGTTTTGTGACCGTTAATGCCCAGCGACAGCTCTTGGACAACAATATCCAGATGGACTGCTGATTTGAGAGCGGTGTTTATTGATTCTTTTTATGAGGCTCGTGTGTGTACGGCAGTCGAAAATCTATGAGCAGCTTTTTGCGATGTGAATCAGTTGAGCTCGGGAACTATGAGCAGGAATTCGCTTAGATCATGGAAGTACTGAAAAAGCTGGGGGCTCATTAGAGCTGATTGGAGTTGGAGGAAAAGTCCAACGGGTTTTATTGCTTTTGGCTGGAAGTCGGACGTGTTGTTTTTTTCGGATAACAATCAGGAAAAAGGTCCACTGTCCACTGCCATTCGCACCCGACGGCTACAAATAATTGTGTGTAGCCTATAATCGCGAATGAGATCTGGAGAATTTCCTCATAATTCAGCGAGAATCTATGATCCAGATTTTAGCAGCGGGATAATCTGACATCGGCTCGGATCATCAACCCTTCAAGATCTGAGGGATCATCACTTTCAAAATCGCGCATCATCACCACTAAAGGTAAGAGAGCCTGTGCCTGATGTCTGAAGTGGATTTGTGTGACATGATGAAGGCTTTGATAGGCAGCATGATGATTTCATAAACTGCAGCCTATTTCTACACTTTTGCACCTGTTGTTGTTAGAATGGGTTTATGGCTGATCGATCGGACGGACGGAAAATGTATGATTTATTTACAGTCGACTTGGATAATGGCTTGCTTAATTTTTTTGTTTACTGATCTTTAAACATCTATTGTCTATAAAACATGTATAAAATACATTATTATTATTATTATTAAATAATAATAATTGTATATGGTTCTTACATTTTAAAGATTTTAAAATTCTTATTCTTATTTAATATAATAATAATAATGTTTTAACAACAATTTTTTTATCATTTAAACAATAGATGTTAAAAAACAACTAAATATTTATAATTATACTTTTGTATTATTATATTTTGTATTTTATATTTGCAATAACTCTTTACTTTTAAGGATGTCTTATCTTTTAATATTATTATTATTGCTTTTGTTTTATATATATATATATATATATATATAAGTTCAGCATTCCTAAAACCTGTGCAAAACACAAACAACATTATGTATAATTCATTGCTGGTAATCAGGTGGCGGTTTCTGGGCAAATTATCCACCTTAGTCTCATTTGACAAGTCAGGTGTTGCCCAACCAACACCCCCTTCAGGGAAAAGGTGATGGACATGCTAATGATTATAAACCTGGAGGAGCTATGTAGAGTGTGAGAGAGCAGGAGTGGCACTGCGGTCCAGGGGGCTGGTCAGCAGTGTGTGTGTGTGTGTGTGTGTTCTCAACTGAGCTGCAGAGGCAGGACTACTTATGTCACAGAGCCATATGAGCCCACCGATGACACCACTGCACCCCTCTCCAGAGTGTGACATGAGGGAGATGCTGACCAGATGAACGGATGAATGAGTGACTACCTGCTCCAGGCTGCTGAAATATTAACTAGGGGTTTCTGGGCACTCTATGCTGCTCGGGGAAAGGACCAGCGCTGGGACGTAGTCAGGCTGTGGAAGTGTGGGACAGCCTGCCCGCTGTGCTCCGAGCCGGAGTGTGCTGTCAGATGGAGGTCACCGATCTGGATCCCGACCCTCGGGCGGAGGGGTCTGAAGGAGAGGGGCCGTGCGTCCCGAGAAGGGGTGAAGGGAGTCCTGGGAAAGAGCCTGTTGTGCTTCAGTATCCTGTACAATTTGATCCGTACGGGTAAGCAACAGGGATGATAGCTGCCATCCCGGGATCTTACTCCTGTAACATTCAGGAAACATACAGGATGTTAATGTTAAACGTGTGTTTTCTTTAATGAGAGTAGTTTGGTTGGAGATGTCCAGATTTGATGATTCTGTTTTGGTATGCGTGATCACTGGCTTGAAAGTATTTGTATTGATTTTAATAACTTGAAATGTATTTATGCTCGGGTCTGTCCTCCGAATCTTCCCTTTGTTTTAGGTTAGGGCGTAGAAGATTGAGTTATTTTGACATGAATGACATTTTGACTTTTTTTCCCAGTGACTTTGAAGCACAGCTCCCTGTGATTTGACTAAAGAATGCTGGCTTTTTCTTGTTCTTTTTCTTGTCGTCTTATGAATAACAATATATGGCAAGATATTTTTGACATTTCGACCGCTGTTTTCTAGGGAACTTAGAATGCGATGTGGCACTGTTGGACTGGAAAGTTTTGCCCTCAGTTGAACACATTGCGATCAATGCTGCCTCCACTTACACTCTTCATGTCCAGACACTTTATTATCCCTCCTGAACATAACATCCTGTTTATAATGGGTAGCTGAAATGTCATTTAAAACAGTGTCCCACAAGGTGACATGTTGTAAACTATTTACTTCAACTATTAGATACATTCTAATTCTTCTATAGTCTATTATAAATGCAGGCTTGTTTTAATTTAGCGACTATATTGTATACTTTTAACCATCATCCATCATGCCAATGCAAAAGCGTTTTGATTGGTCACCGCATGAATTTCGTATATTTACACTATCGTTGAAAAATTTGGGTCTGTAAGTTTCTTATACAAGACTACATTCATTTAATCAAAAATACAGCAAAAACACTAATATTGGTAAATATTATTAGAATTTAAAAAGTGTGTTTTTTATTTTAATATATTTTCACATGTCTTTAATGTCAGAAATCATTCTAATTATGCTGATTTGCTGCTCAAGAAACATTTCAGATTTCGTGACATTTCAGACATTTCGTGATACATTTGTTTTCAGTATTCTTTGATAAATAGAAAGTTCAAAAGAACAGCATTTATTTGAAATAGAAATCGTTTGTAACATATGTTTTTACTGTCACTTTTGACCTATTTAATGCATCCTTGCTGATTAAGGTATTAATTCTTAAAAAAATCGTACTGACCAAAAGTAGTGTATATTAAAATGTTTACTTTTATGTATATAAATGTTAAATCTAGATGTTGAAGTTTATGTTAATGTTATTTTTTAGCTATACCCATCTACATTTTTTAATCAAATCTTACTCTTAGACAAACTACAAGGTATCTTAAAGTGTGTCAGATTAACTGCAAAATACTTCTACTTACTTTTGCCAGTTGCAGTCCCTTTGGCATTATGCAGTTGTCATGTACACTTAACAGTTCATCATGTGAACAGCATAATAGTGAGATTGCAGGTAAATTAGTCATACTTTCCCCCTGGACACACTCAGACTGTCAGGCTTTGCCCCAAGGAGTTGCATGAGTGTGGATCTAAAAAATGCATAGAGTCACGTTTTTGCAGACGAACTTGCTGTTTTCGTTTTTACACACCAATGTTGTATATATAGTCAAAAGGAAACTGTTCATTTTGCACAGTAATTTTCTATACCATTTAAAGTGTTTATTTATAATTGTGATGTGTTGTTAGCCAGTTATAAAAATGAATTGCATGTGTAGTATGGGTTTCCATGATTTATGAGTTATTTATTATAAAACAAGAACTTGATTCGAATGCTAATGAACCTGGAGGCATTGTGATAATTACCATAATTAAAATTGCCCCCATAAACAGTTCATCTGTGCCTTTTCCCCTTCGGGGACAATGATTTATTTGGCCAATTTAGCTCTACTTGTGCAAAGTGTTGACATATGTGCTGTAGCCATTCACACAGTACCCTGTAAAGATGGAAAAAATGGATTTCATTGGTATGAAACAACCCTAAACAACCACCAAAGGCTAATTATAACTTTTTTTTATTAATCATTCGGCCATTAAACTTTATTACATGCAACTTTAAAAAAACACTGGCAAAAAGAGAATGGACAGAGCTTGTAATGAAACGAGAAACAACATCGGATATAGCAAGAACTGAGGGATTTGAAATGTTGTAAAAGTGCCGTTTTTATTACTGAACAGGTGAGTAAGGTATTTTATTAAACAGATAAATTGCCATATGTGGCTCTCTAAAAGATTTTTTTTCTCTCTAACAGAGTTCATTGTAAAGTATTATCTATCGTAAAGGGTCATATTCATCCGCACAGTCACGCAGAGCCAAAGCACAACCAAAACAATGTTCTTCCGCAAAATCCATGCAGATTTTTTTTTTGTTACATTTTTACCACAAGAGAAGGTGTTCAGACTGCATGCAAATCAGATTTTTTCTCAAATCAGATCTTTTCAGGGAGACTGTCCGCACTATTAATTGCAAGTGATCAACTAAGATTTGTGTGTCCAGACAAAACCAATCTATCTGCATGGGTTGCTTTGGTAACGAGGTAGGCGTACCCACGTATGTGATGAGGCTTTCAAAATGGATGCAGGAAAAATTGAGGTGCATCATCTCGCTCTCCAAATAAGCGCCCCGTCGAGTTGCGGTGCAGAACTCCTCTGTCTTAGAGGTATATATTGTAATGTTCAGCTGGCTTCACTGAGCAGCCTTAGCGTCCAGACTGAAGCACATGTGCACATTTTTTTAAAGATTTGTTTTTTTATTTGTTTTTTTATAATTACTTATGCTGTAGCCAAAGTGTTAGATGCTTCTAATATGAAATGTTAAACTAAGGCATTTACATCTCCACATTTGATAGAGAGATTCTGGACTTGAACCAGACCAGATTTTAAACTAGTAAAGGCTTTGCACATCCCAATCAGCTGCCCCATTAGAGCAAACCCCCAGTCTCCTACATTTGTCCCAATGCAGCATCCATATTTTACAAGGGTCTGCCATCCATCATGGGATATGTCCTTCAGCAGACTGCTACTACGGGCTCAAGCTGTATGTGTTTTCCTCTGCTTTGGTGACTGGCTGTAGCCCAGCACATACTGTGACTGTGGGCTCACATCCCAAAGCGTGGTCTGTGATCTGGAACCTCACGCCCCTTCATGCTGACTGCTACTTCAGGTGGCTTTTCTCTCTCTTGCTCTCTGCTGATGGTGTTGTGGTATTTAACCTGCTGGGTGACCACATTGTCCCCATGAGAGCTTTAAGTTCCTGTGCAGGACACCAGCAGTGCGGTGTCACACTCTGAAGGAAGGCTTTTAGCTCTGCTGAAGGGAGGTCTGTCTGCAAATCAGCCGAAAAGAGACTATAGAAAGATTTATTTTTTAATGTCAACACAAGTAACACATAAGATGAAGACTCCAGTCATGACAGTATAGTCTAATGAAAACAGGTCCCCTTATGGCTGACATTTACTCATTTTAAGAATCACGTTGCAGAGTTTACTAAAAAAAAAGCAGCACAATTGTTTTCAGCATTGGTAACAATAATAAATGTTTCTTGTGCAGCAAATCAACATATTAGAATGATTTCTGACCGATCATGTGACACTGAAGGCTGGAGTAATGATGCTGAAAAGTCAGCTTTGCCATCAAAGGAATACATTACAATTTAGAATATAATAAAATAGAAAAGAGTTGTTGTAGATTGCAGTAGTATTTCACAATATTGCTGATTTTACCAAACATATGAGTTATTAGGGAAAGTCCACATACTGGCCATCAGTGTTGGGGTTAAAGCATTACAAGTAACGTGAGTTACATAATCGGATTACTAAAGTAACGCATTACTTTTAAATTTACAACTAAATATCTGAGTTACTTTTTCAAATAAGTAATGCAAGTTACTTTGCTTCCCCTTTTATTGACTGAGAGCTCTCCTGTCTCCATGTTGAGAGAAATCGTGAGGAAGTGCAGAGGTGTTGTGTGTGAAGTGAACGTGATGGTTATTGAAGTTCTATGTAAACATAACTCATCTCACTTACACAAAAACAGATTCAGTATCAAGATCAAAATAAATAAAAACAGAGAAATACAAACTCAGAATATTACGCAAACCTGCAGTAATTAAATATGTTAAATAATACAAATATACTTTATGTATTTAATCTCACTTTATTAACCAATGTCTTTGCTGCTGACCTTCGATGATCCAATTCAGCCATACTAATAAGCAAAAATTACTTTAAATAAACATCACATTTGTGTTTCATTTTTGTGTTTTTATTGATGAAGTAAAAAACTGCTTCCATTATCACATACTCTTGAGTAGGTTATTATAAGAGGTTTGCTAAAAAAAGAGGTTTATAGAGAGAGAGGTTCTATAGTATGAGTGTGTGTAGTATGAATGTAATCCGGACATGCCGTCATTATCATGATGTGACCTACCGACTATTCACAAATCCTCTCCTGTGGGCTCATGGGATAGTAAAGTGTCCATCATATGCACACTTCAGAATCTCGCTGGAAAAAGTAGGTCATCCGGTACTTTTTGCATACTCTTTTATGAGTACTGTGAATTCAGACATACTACTTTTGTCACATACTGTTTTCACCTACAAAAGTGTGTGATTTTGGATGCAGCCAGAGTGTTGAACTTTCTTCTTCCGTGACTTATTGGTCTGCACAGTTGAAAGGTTTGAGCTGCGCCCATACTGTAAAGGCATGAATTTGCATTTCCTCCTGCCTGAGGTTTATTCATTTCACTTTTGGTGTGAAAGGGCTTTTACATTTGCCAAAAATACAGTAACGTAACACATTACTTTCCATAAAAAGTAACTAAGCAACCAAATTAGTAAAATTTTTAGGGAGTAACGCAATATTGTAATGCGTTACTTTTAAAAGTAACTTTCCTGTCCTGTAAACATTGCTGTCCATGTACTGTATATCAGATTTAAATCTGGCACCCTACTCTCTAGATATCTGTATTAGCATCAGATATAGAAAAACCCATATCGATCAACCAGTGCTGTGAAGTTTTGTAGAGAAACACTCAACCTCTTTCAGTAAAGTAAACTGGGCTCAGTAGTGTTTTCTTTGGCACTTTAAAGCTGCAGTCCGCAGTTTTTCCTCTTTGTCGCCATCTCTGTTCGAAATCTGCAATTGCACTGCTTCGCGGAATTATCACTTTACGTGAGTTGTGCCTCGACACGGCACAGCGCGGATGAACACAATGTTTGAGGAGAGTGTGCGGCTGTCAGTCGCCCCGGTGTGGATACTCTCATTCAGAATCACAGATTATTGTTTTTGAAAGTATGACCAACATAAGAATTTTCGCCGGAAAATGTAATGTGAACAAGTAACATTTCCTTTTGTTCTGGTTCTGACTAAATCGCGCTGATTAAATCTAACAATCGCTTATCATATCACGTAAAACCGTGCAAATTATACTTTGTTCTCAAATTGTTAATGTTCAACATCAGCAATGCGTGATTATCCTTGTTTTCGCATGGGTCCGGTAACTCCGGTTGCAGTCTCTTTTTTTTTTCTGTAGCTACTCCGAAGTCCAAACGAAGTCTTTTGCATTTTACAACTGGTGAGTCTCCAGTTGTCACTGGTGATTGTCGTTTGAACCTTTCTGGATCCGCCATCAAATTGATAAGTTTAATTATATCAAATGCTGTGAGAAAAAAAAAGGCTATAATTTTTAACCCAAAAAAGCTACGGACTGCAGCTTTAAACTAAGGCTAATTTAGACTTACATCTTACATTGTTGAAAGCTTGATTTATATTTATTTTTGGATGTATTTTAATAATGGCTAGTGCATGGTTAGCAGCTGTCACATGGGCCATGGGCCAAAAACTACAGTGAAACGTTCAGTGGGTTTGTTTGTGGGAGTACTTTGTATGCACAGAATCCATCTTGATCTCTGGAACGGTCTGCAGGATGTTGAGTGCTGTGCATTTTGAGTGGGCTTTTGACACTCAAGCTTGTTTTTAAAACTCACGGTTTCGAAAGGCACTCACTTCATACTAAGCAACATGAAGCCCAATTACAGAGAAACTCAGTTTCACATCTCTATTGTATTCAAATGATTCCCATGGCTTTGACTGTGCTGAATAATTAATTTTGCTCATGATAACCACAATATCTGAGAGATTTCAATATAAAGAGCTATTCCAGTTTGATTTTTTTTGGTATCTTGACTTTGTGAACTCTGCATATTTTTGTTTAGTTAAATTACTGTTGTTTTGGGTATGCAGAATTGTTCTGTTTATATGAGTGATATGATCAATACACTGTCATTATTTAGATATCATAAAATAAAATATCATAACCTATCACCTTGTAACTGTATCTGATGAACAGAAATGGTCATTCCATCTATTGTCAGATACAAAATGATTCTAGCTTTATTTAAGGATATATCATTTTTCATTAATTACTTATTTCTGTTTACAAAATTTTTTATTCAAATATTTTTTCTGTTGATTTTGTAAAAGCAATTAATGAATAATTAGTTACGTAATAAGAAAAATACATCTTTTTTGTTGTTGCTATATTACATTTTATAATGCCCTACCGTTCAAAAGTTTGGGTCGACAAGATTATTATTTTTTTTTTTTAAAAGAAATCTTCATATTAGAATGATTTCTGAAAGATCATGTGACACTGAAGACTGGAGTAATGATGCTAAAAATTCAGCTTTGCCATCACAGGAACAAATTATATTTTATATATTTTTATTTATATATTTTTACTGACTGTAATATTTTTATTGTATTTTTGATTAAATAAATGTGCATGGTCTCTCGACGTTGCTATCGGCGAAGCGTATTGGTAGACCCCTATTTTATATGTGAGAAAATTCTGTTTTCAAACACTGCAACTGTCAGCAAGATTTTAATGACACTACAATAAACACCTGTGAACAATAACTGTGCTCTCATAGGGTAATTCAGAGTGGCAGTGCACGCTTTCAGCTTTAAAAGCTTGCCATTTTATGGCCACTTATTTCATTCATTTTAATCCTTCATATGCATTGAAACATCCTTTTACAACATTTTCACTTATAGTGCAGCAGAACATTCGAAATATTCCAATGGTTTTTACTGAACAAAGAGACAACGAGAGCCCACCCTGGAGACATTTCCTGAGACATTACTGCTCAACTTAAGCATGCTCTATTATAGATCTTTAGGAATGTATGATGCGAAAATCATTGACACGTCTTTTGGTCTGGTTGTTTCAGCATTTTCTTGTGCTCTCTCTCAGGGAGAAGATGCCGTTCCACCATGTGACGGCAGGATTGCTGTACAAGGGCAACTTCTTGAGTCGCTCACTGTCAGAACACAGCAATAGCGAACAGCTCGCCAGCATCTCTGTGGAGGAACTAGATGGTGAGTACTAACCTTACGGACAAAATCACAAATGCTTTGCACTAATGAAGGCCAAACTTTTAACCAAACTTCATCATTATTTTGATTAAATGAACTAGTTTTCATCTTCATATAAAGGAGTCTGCACAATGTGTGCTATGTCTTCTGAAGCTAAATGATAGATTTTGTGAGGAACAGACTGAAATTTAAATAGTTAGAAAAAAATTGACTTCAGAAGACTTTTATGCAGAAGTGGCATAGGAAAATTGATATATTCACCCTTTATTCAAATATTATTAAACATTTGTTAAAGATATTGTAAGCATGTTTCTTAGTTGTGCTTGTAGTCATTTGTTTTATTTGTGATAATGCAATGAAACATGCTAAATTGTGCAGACATAATTTTTGGCCAGGCTGTCATACAAAGAAATTATAAACGCAACCGGAACCAACAAAATACTAATAACTGATTATGTTGTAGTTAGTGTATGCTTTTTATTTTTCCATGAATTTTTTTGAATAGTGAAACAAAGACTGTTACTGTAGTTTGCCGTTTTTGCCAAATAATTTTGTCAGATGAATACCTTAGTGTTTTGTTTTCCCCTTATGTTTACAAAATATTAAATATTTTTCTCATATTTTGATGGTTTAATCATTAAAAACAAATATCCCCTGCGGACATCATTTTTGGCCAATAAAGTAACCCCCCCCCCATCCATCTATCCATGATTTTTTGAGAAAAGTTAGCATATAGTCTCTATCCCTAAAGTTTAATATCAAATAAAGGCAAAAAACAAACTTTATTATATTATTTTATATTATTCTTTATTATATTATTAGTTTAATGGATAATAGTGTCATCTAACTTTGATTTATATGCTCATGTTTATAAAATATTCATTTTTGAATGTGGATGAATTACTGATCCCTTAAGCATTAGGCTATATATTTTTTTATTAATAACTTTTTAATGAAAGCTGAACCCTGAAGTGTTTTTGGTTTTCATGTGTAAATCAGGGATTAAATCATGAATCAAAAATCCAAATTTGAATAAAAGCGTGGATCAAAGCAGCACACGTCCCCCTGACACTCTTCATCATGATTCGGGGAGAGAGTGAATCAATTACGGCTGCCTTTGTCAGCAGAAAGGAGCTCATGAAGAGTAATACATTGAACCCTTGAGGCCTGAAAATGAATTTTTAAGTGACATATTAACACTGCGGGGCATCTGCAGATATACAGAGCTGCTACAAGTCATTGACTTTGTTGGTTTTGCTCTAAAACAGTCCAAACTGTGAATTACAGCTGCTGGAAGCCTGCTGATGTTATATTGATCGTATCAGGAGGGGTCAGCAAATATTCTGTAGCGTCTTATCACAGAGATAGTTTAGAGAAGTTTATGTTCCCGGATGAACAAAATGTTTTTCAAAGGATTTGTGGATTTGTATAGTCTCTATTCATATGAAGGGCACATTTGTAGAAATATCGATATTTCTATTAAAGGGGGGGTGAAACACTCAGTTTCAGTCAATCTCATGTTAATCTTGAGTACCTATAGAGTAGTATTGCATCCTTCATATCTCCAAAAAGTCTTTAGTTTTATTATATTTATAAAAGAAAGATAGGCTGTACCGAGTCTTTCCGGAAAAAAACGAGCGGGTGGAGGCGTGCCGTGTGGGCGGAGCTAAATAATCACGAGCGCGCGAAGCTTTTGCGTTGAGCGTCTGGAAGCTGTGTGTGACATCCCAAAACAAACCATGGCTAACAATCAGATTCAGCCATACATTTTTGATCCCGAATCAGATCCCGTGGCTGAAATTGAAGACGAGCAGCAGCAGCAACGACTACAGCAGGAGGTCTCTATGTGGTGTGTACTGGAACTGTATAACTTATATTTGCTTAGCGGTTTTTGTAAATGACTAATTTTCACTTTATGTCGTCGTATTTTTTTTTCTTTAAAAGTGTACATGTGGGAAGTGTAGTTTGATGCCGACTGAGGCGGGAGTTTTTTAAAAGTAGAAATGATTTGAACTTGATCGCAGTGTTTTTAGAACACCATGTCATGCGCGAGTTATAACTTATAACTTACAACATTTGTGTGTGTGTTTACTCGTGGTTTATGAGGACATGATTTGGTTTTACAATAAACAAACAGACACCTACAGTGGCCAGCTAAACAAATGTATTTAAAGACGTTCTTGAACAAATCGCCGATGATTTCCTGTTGAAGCGCGTTGATGTGCGCGGTCTTGCTCTCGTCTGGTCGACGTGTGCGCGGGCGCGGTTTTCCAAAAGAAATGCTCATATAAGGAATTCCACTCTCGTCTACGTCATTAGATCCACGATCGAAAAAAAACAGCCGAAACTTGTACCAACCCGGAAGTAAGATTTTCGGCACAGAAATTCTCCGTTATTCGTCCAAAATATATATATTTTTTTTAACTTTGGCCATGTTTAGCATGAGAATCCATCTCTTTAACACTGTAAACAACTCTGAATACATGAAACACCATTGTACCCCCCTTTAAATATCGCAGCATTTTATCTAATTGCATCTTCAGGCGTCTTACCAGATCTAACGCATGATTATTACATCGTTTGGATATGGCTGCTAGCCTGGGAAAACCCAGACAACTTCCGGCAAATTTAGATTTGCTCTGAAAGTTAGGCCCTGTCCACACGGACACGGGTATTTTTATAACCGTGACTTTTTTACGCGGTTCGGCCGTTCGTCCACACGAAAACGCACTGAAACCGAACATTTTTGAAAACCCCTGCCAGGGTGAGGATTTTCAGAAACGCCGGTTACAGTGTTGTCCTGTAGACAGTGAAACCGGGGTTTTTGCTTTGCGACGTCAGAGTGTGCGCCGTTATCCGCTGTGTTTGACGTCAGATTTGCGCTTCTGATTGGCCAACGTGGCTTTACGGTTAAGGGTTATATCGCCGCCTGCTGGCGTGGCATGCTCTTGATCGCGCTTGATAGCGTGTTTTTGCGTTTTCATGTAGACGGAGACCGAGCATGTGTGGACGGGATTTTTTTTTAAAAACGCTGTAGGAAAAACTCCGGTTATAAAAATACCCGTGTCCGTGTGGACAAGGCCTTAGTCTGGCAAAGAGCTCATCCAAGCCCATTTCCAATCCGTCGAAATCGAGGCACCAATCAGAAACGTTGGGGCGGGCTTTACACGATAACGACAGCGCTGGGATTTTGAAGCAGATTTTGTAGCCTACATTACAAAGATGGATGCCGCCGTCGAACATCACTCGTGCGAATCAGCTATCGCGTCTGTTTTAAGCGATTTGAACGTTTCCTTTTTGTTAAAAACCGAGCAAAGAACAACACTCAGAGATGTTTCTCCGCCGCTCTGCATACGTCATCTCCTTCATCGCTCTGGTTGGTTTTAGGTCTATCCGCGACGTCCATTGGTGACGCCCCTCTGGAAATGATTTGTCTATGACGCTTTGCCAGACCATAACTCAGTTGCAATTGAGAATGGTCTGGTTTTAACCAGGCTATATCGCTGCCAGATTCATCTCTAAAATGAACAGTGCTTGTCTGACAAATAGTCAGAACTGAGAGGACGAAATGTTTCTGAAGGTTGTTTAACCAGGCTTTTCATCCACAACAGACTCTGTATGTATATATTCATGATTTTGCCTCTACGCACAAAAACAAATCTAATGCCTTTACTGTGCAAACACTTTGCAGCGCTCACAAAATCTTTTTGCACGTTTGTGTCTGTGTTGAATAACAAATACGAGCCTCCCTTCCCTGGGAAAGATGTTCTTAATTGGCTCTGAAACATCACTGAAAAAAAAGATTTTTGCTGCTTGTTCAAATTGCTTAATTAAAATGAGCTTAAGCAACACAATTGCTATACATTTTGTGAGTAGCTTTGTGCTTGGTGATTTGGTTTGAGTTGTAGCTTGTCCATGTTTGAGTTGTTTGACTGTCAACATGGTCTGTGAGATGGGGTTGAATTTTTCAATCCTATTATCGGGTCCTCACAGTCATGGAAAACCTGTCAATATTATATAATTGAAATGTTTGCCACACTTGGAAAGCTTGGAAATGAATAAAATTCAAAGGTCATTGAAAATAATGGGTGCTTCTATTTTCAGTATCGTTTTTTCTAGTCATGCTCTGCTTTAAAACATTTCAATAACTCACTAGATATTGCTTTTTATGAGCCCTTGTGTAGAGTAAAATTTGATAACCGATAACATCTATCTGTTGAGGATGACTGTTTCTGGGATTCATTGGGTGGCAGATATTACTAGTAAATTGGGTTTTTATGGGGCAAAAATCTTTCTTTTTTTAAGGACAAAGGAGGCACTGAATTGTCTATTGAGCAGCAATTCAATCTCAGGGTCTTTTTTGTCTTATTGGAGACATTTGTACTCTAGAAAGTTATTTCAATCTGGTAATATAAAGAGTTGGTACCTGGAATTCAAATGGAAATCTTCCACAAAAATCTCTATAAAATAGTCAGAAAACGACTGGAAATATCATGGGAAAATAATGGAAATTCATTTTTTAATTTTTAGGAACAGTCACATTATGTTTTGGCCGTTCATTTACACCACGTTTTGAAGGGCCTGAAAATGCAAACTTTTGAAAATGAGTTTCAAAAGTGCACGTTTTTTAAAATGATTATTAAACGAATAATTGAATATATGACCCTGACAAAGAATTGGTACCTGAAATTCAAATGGAAATCTCCATCAGAAATCTCTATAAAATGATGTTAAAAAAATTCCTTGGTCTGAAAAATATAATGGAATTTTTTTTAGGAACCCTAAATTACTGTATAAATTCCCTGTTTAATGGCTTAGAAATATTTTTTTAGAATTATAGTAGATTATAATAGATTAAAAAAAATACACTAATTACACTGGACAGGATAAGTCACAAAAAGAAAAGGCCAAATAATTGTTAGTAATTTATTGATTATTATTTTTTGAAAAGCATACATTATTTTCAAAATAGCTTTTTCCTCTTATCAAATATCTGAATATATGACTGACAAAATTGCAGAACTTGTTTCGTAAGTCTGTGTAGTCATAAGTCTTGATTTAGATGGATGAGAATAGTGCAGCGTGTCGTCAAATCTCAGGAATCTTTTGTTTCCTCCGTGTTAATTCCCAGGTTGCTTGACTTCAACTCCCGTTAGTACGCAGACAAAATTACCCAATGTGCTGCTGTGTGCTCGAACATGCTGTGCAACTGTAGTGTTCTTCAGAGTTGTGACACTCGAGCGCTATTTTAAAACACCAATCCTTTGCTGCCATAAGTTTTCTCCTCACAGAAGGAATGCTTATAAAATATGCATTTGATGGAGCTCGTCTCCGCGATTCGAGATATATATGCTTTTCAGTGGCAGAGTCCTCCTCTGTAGAGCAGATATCAAAAGAAAAAGCCAGGAAAAAGCCTGGCCTCCAGTCATGTTTCTGAGGCTGGTTAAAACTCAGACATTCACTGCTCTTTTTAGCTTTCCAAATGAACAGTAAAATAAGAAGCTGACAAGCGTTTTGAGGAGAGAAACAGCGCAGCAGTGTGTGTCACCACCGGTGTAATAGCAGGTGTAGATAATGTGGTAAATTACTGCAATCATTGCTCAGTGGAGGAGGACCAATGAGAAGCCACTCGAGGTGTTGAGTCGCACACTTGTTTATCTTGGCAGAGATCCGGGAGGCGTTCAGGGTCCTGGATCGGGATGGCAATGGGTTCATCTCCAAGCAGGAGCTTGGCATGGCCATGCGCTCACTAGGGTACATGCCCAGTGAAGTGGAGCTGGCGATCATCATGCAGAGATTGGACATGGATGGTGAGTCCCCTTACTCACCAACACACTTCTATGGGTTTTGTACTGCATTAATGATCTTTTCTATTCTATCCCCTAACCTTAAAACTCAAGGACAATTTTTAGCATGTTTATTTAGCTGTTTTCCCATTGAGAACTGATAGCAGGTCACATACACATGGATACTCATGTCCAACTCACTGACATTATCAGATCTGCAAACATAAAAAAATGGTCACATTTGTGATTATATTCCCACACACAAGAAAAAATCTGAAGAAAAAATACCATACAAATATTAGTGTGTATATATATATATGTTTTCAGATCTGATAATGTCATTGAGTTGGACTGGAGCATCCATGTGTATGTGATGTTCTGATTGTATCTCTTAGTCATAAAGATTTAGCAATCTTCTACAATCAATTGTGAATCTGCTAGTTGTCAATATGCTTATTTTACTGGGTTTGTATTCTCAAAGCAATTTCAGTTTCATCTCCTCTAAGCCAGCAGAACTAATCTACTGGCTTTTGGGCCTGACATCTTATGCGTATCTCTAGAGGAGTTTAAGTGGAAATGAATGAATAAAGCAGTAATATTTTCCTGCTTCTTTAGCATTTGGTCATAAAAAAAAATAATTAGACAGTTCCTTTGGTTTCAGGCTGTTCACTTTAGATTAGGGACCCCACATACATTTTTTTATGACCGAAAAATTCTGTTTTAATACAGTTTTTATAGTTTTATATTTTAAATTTTTTTGAGTCAGGGTCTTTTGCCTAGTCATCTTTCCATCAGAGAACAAGACTCTTCTATTGTGAACCATGAATCGTAATATTAAAACAGCATAAACCCGAGCTAAACATCGGTGACAGATATGGTGTTTGAAAGATTGTTGATTAAAATAAAATGCATGTGCTCTTGGTTATGAGTATGTCACAGCATAACAGGATTGAACAGAAAATGCAAAGACAAAAACATATCCTCCGGAAATGCATAAAGTAGTCAATTTCAGTGAAAGCTAAATTAAGCTAAATTGCTTATTCCATATAACATATATTGTAGAACATTAAACCAAAATGTATGTTTTATTTTAAAATTATTTTCTATTACATAAACAGTAAAATCAAAATACCTAAAATCAAATAATGTGACTAAGTAGTAACGGTATCATCAGTAATTGGAGTGATTGGTGGTTTGCCAAAAAGAAGTGGAAATGTCAAAGTATTTTACTATCCGTTATTGTTTATTATGGTTTTAACCTTCTTTAGTATGCATAAATAAAGGCTGCTTCTGAAGCTCATTAGATAGTGTGATGGACTGTCATTCTACACATCTGTACATTCAAGCATGACACCTGGCCATTGAGCCAAGCTGCCTGACAGCAGATGGATTTTGCCAGCTGATATAATCAGATGAGCAGCAGCGCTTGATGATTCACATTAATGTTCAGAGTTCAGCTGAGGTTTGTCAGATTGAGTCTTCTTCAGGAGTGCTACATTGTCTGAGGAAGCCAATAAGTAGTTTTGCAAGCATAGGCCACACTCATTCACTGAAAATACATTATGTTTGTTAATTTATAGACGGATTGATCATAACAGATGACGTGTTATGTGTTAATGGGTTTAAATCTGGTGTGTTATATATTTACGCTGTCATGAGAATTACTCTGAACATAGAATGTTAAAGAGTTATAAGTCATGAACCAAGACAATCAGCTATGAGGTGAATCACAACACTACACAACAACTTTGAGTTGAAACAAAAATGTTTTTGAAAATTGGAGGAAAAAAAGACAAAGATACAAGGCTGTGTAGTACGTACTTAACAGCTTCAGTGAGGGAAAGAACTGCAATCCCATGAAGCATTGCGAACAGCATAATTGAAACAATGGAGAAACATAAAACTACTAATTTACAAATGTTGATTATATATATATATATATAATGTTTTTCTTTTTTTTACTGATTATGTATATAGTTAAAGTGAAAAAAATAGCATTTTTAGGTATGTTTTGCGACATTGTTAATTGTTATTAAGCAATAACGAATAATTAAATATATATATTTTTTAATTACAAGCATGTCATGTCATAATGAATTCTTAAACAGAATTATGCTTGTATCATATTTGTTATCAAAGTTTTTACAAAGTTACAAAAGTATAGTAAAAGTAAAAACATTAAAAGTACCATATAGTTCATAGTTGGGGATTTGTGCGCAGAGTTCTGACTTTAATGTGTTTTACAGGTGATGGACAGGTGGACTTTGATGAGTTCATGACGATACTCGGACCTAAGCTCCTGTCCTCAGAAACACGGGAAGGCTTCCTTGGAAACACAATAGACAGCATATTCTGGCAGGTAAGAAGCCGTGGAGGACAATTTACCGGTAGTTGTGCAGCACTAAGCTTCAAAGAGTCTTAAAATTGCAATATTACATAAGACGTTTTATTTGTATGACACTTGTTATTCTGACAGGCTGAATAACAGGAATGGGAGACATCATTGAGTGTCTGAATGGTGGTTTATGTAGGGGTTCATTGTGTGGATAATGTTGCATTAGTGAGATTTATGTGTTCAGGTTTGTATTCAGGATTCAGGTTTGTAAGAATCTCATTCAGCTGATTAGAGGTGAGTGATAGCAGTGTTTGGCATGGCCATGATCTGGCTGAGTGGAGAGGATCCCTGTGGGTTTAGGAGTGCTGTGTGATGAAGATGAAGATGAAGCAGAGCCCATGCCAGCTCCACTTGGTTAAGACAAGTGCTTGTGACCTTGGCTGACATCTCTGAGGAGTTTGACAGCTGAATGTTCACAGAGGCCAAGTCACTCACTCTTTGAATGATCAGGGAATTTTGTAATAGGCATTAACCTATTGACTTTTTTATAAGCTGTCATAAATGTCTGCGTGAAGATGAAAGGCATCTTTTGGGTATATTTTCAGAAACATTAAATAGCAATAAACACCTCCATAGCATCACAAGTTTGTCATTATACATTATTTGATATTACCTTTTAAAAATGCTTCTGATTTAGTGAGTTGGCATGATCGCATACACAACCCTTCAAAAGTGTGGCATCTGTACGATTTTTTTTTTCTGTAAGAAGTCTCTTTTGCTCACCAAGGCTGCATTTATTTTATCATAACTACAGTCAAAATCATATTTTTTATAATTAATTAAAAAAATTTTTTTTAATGTGAATGTATTTATTCCTATGATGCAAAGCTGGATTTTCAGCATCGTAACTTCAGTCTTCAGTTTCACATGATCCTACAGAATTCCTTCTAATATGCTGATTTGCTGCTTCATATTTTCGAGGATTTCATTTTTTTTAGGATTATTTGATCAATAGTAGCCTAAAGTAGAAAACTTTTGTAACAAAGTCTTTGACTCTTTAATGACACTTTTGATCAATTTAATGTGTTCTTGCCGAGTAAAAGTTTTTTTTTTTTTTTACTTTGTGACCCCAAACTGTATATTTTGAGACAGATTTATTTATCATATTGTATTATCATATAGTATTTTCAATTGAATTGAACACAAAAAAAATGTCAAGGATGACACATGCCTCAAGACATCGTTCAGATGTTTTATTCTAAGACATCTGGCAGATTTTTATCTTTAAAACACTCTTGTGTGTAGGACTAATTTCTTGCGCATCTTATCCCTAGCCTCCAGCATTGCTAATTCCAAAAGGTCAGTTTAAAGCTAGTAAGAAAGCATTGAGCCATTTATATGCAGACTATTAGAGAGAGATTGATAGATTGCTTAAGCGTGTGTGAATTACCTGAGTCTGTGTGTCTCTCAACAATGTATGGCAGCAGCGTCTCTACTTATAGCGAAGCTGTAAGTTTAACTGCTTCAAAAACAGTTACGTTGCTACCTCGATACTGAGAAATGTCACATCGTTTTGCAGATGCTAATTATTGAAAAAGTCATTGGCAGCGCTGAGAACAAGTTTCTGTACGCATGTTCCTGTATAGTATGCGTGTACGTTTGTATGGGAGAGAGAGCTGGAGAAAGCTTTCTATAGACAATGAAACTTAATAGTTTGTCATTTTTATCCAATTGTTTGTTATATTTATTTGTGGGTTTTTGTTCTTTTAGAGTTGTAGTCTGTAAGGACCTTTGAAATAACTGAAATAATGCGGCGAAGTGATATAGAATGGTAATGCGGTCAAAACCTGCCTGGAACTACTTTACAGTAGCTATACTTACTGAAAAATAAATGCACATCTTAGAACATTAGTCAACTGATCAGAATCAAGCATTCAACAGCCTCATAGTATAAATCTGAGATAAGTAGCCACTATGTTGGGTCTTGAGAACCCCTTTCTGGACAAAAAACACTGTTACATGGCACATGCTGAATGCCTGAATGGCAATAAATACATTTTTCACAGGTTTCCACTCTGCCTGATACAGTTATTATAGGGATCAGTGTGTGAAATATTTCTGTACTGACATTTTAGTTCTTTTAAAATACTTTGAGGACATGAAATACCAATAGTGATTAAGTAAAATCCAAAGGAATCTAGCTACTTTCTTATTGTATATACAGTGCATGCTTCCCTGTTGGCCTGTTAACATATGCTCAGTGTGATGGAACCTTTCACTGCTGATTTAGGTGATAAATGTCCTTTTGTTGTTTGGTTTGATCTTGCAGTGTTATCCGTCTAAATTAATCTAGTCCCAAGAGTGGCTCATTCCCGCTGTGAGGGGAAAGAATCATTGAGACGCCCCATCCATCATCTCTGTGTGAAATAGTAGGAATCAACCTTCCTGTTATGAAGGACGTTTTCCCTGTTATATATCCAGTTCCAGCCAATGCTGGTGGTAGAGAGTGACATCCTGAGTGACTTCACTATTCCTGGTGTATGTCACTAGAGGACGGGACAGTTGTCCTGCAACAGTGCTCCTCAAATGGTGTTGCTTTAGGACCAACATTTTACATTGGACATGCAGTGACTAAACTATATGGGAAGTGTTTTTTTTCTATATATTCTAGATAAACTACCGTTCAAAAGTTTGGGTTCAGTAAGATTTAAAAAAAGAAAAAAAGGAATTAATACTTTTAAATTGATCAAAAGTGACACTAGATATTTATAATGGAAAAGATTTACATTTTAAATAAGTGCTGTTCTTTTGAACTTTCTATTCATCAGAAAATCCTGAAAAATGGTTTCCACAAAAATATTAAAGGGTTAGTTCACCCAAATATGAAAAATCTGTCATTATTACTCACCCTCATATCATTTCAAACCCGTAATACTTTCGTTCATCTTCAGAACACAAATGAAGATCTTTTTGATGAAATCTGAGAGCTTTCTGTCCCTCAATTTACAGCTACACAACTACCACTTCAAGCTTCTAAACATTCATAAAGAGATTGTAAAACTAATCCATAGGCTACAGTCGTGCTCAGAATTAATGGTACCCCTGGTAAATATGATCAAAACTGGCTGTAAAAAATAAATCTGCATCATTTATCCTTTTGATCTTTCATTCAAAAAATTGGCAAAAATCTAACCTTAAATTGAAGTAAAAGAATTGAAAGTGGGGGGAAAAATCACATTATGAAATAAAAAAATTTCTCCAAAACATTTATTTAGCCATCTTAGCTTTTCATGAGGAATAGCTGCCTCCTGCCTGTTATTTGCTTTTCACATTGTTATTCACCCTATTAGAACAGACCTATAGTCTATTTTTGGGCCTTGAGCCACCGGTTGAGATCCACTTCTGTAGAGATGATCTAAATATACTGTTCTGAGAATCCGGAGCTCTTCCTGCGGCTTTCGAATGGTTATTTTGGAGCATTCTGTTGCTGTCAGTGCTTTAATTATATTTTATGAATCATTCCCCAGACTTCATAGACGACTCTGCTCTAAAGTATTTATTTTCTGCCGCACTGCTGCGTCAGGCTTATTTCATCAATGCTACATCACTTCGGCGTTCTCGTGCAATCAGAGTGGCTTTCCAGTCAAACCTGGGTTATACTTTGTCTCTTTTATAGCAGCTTAAAATAATATCGGTCCTACAGCAGCTTTTGTGCCTGCAGTACTTTATTTTATTGTATAGATTTTTATGTTTGTAATGTACTTTCTGATGTCCTTTCTATAGGGTACAAAATATAGATATTTTTGGCCATTTTTTGTCAGTGTGTCAGTGAAAAGAGGTACTTAAAAATATATATGAAAAATATAAATATGTGTATGTGTGTGTATATATATATACACAATAGATAGATTTTAGAAATGTTATATTTCATTTTATAATATAGATACATACACGGAAAGTTACAACTTTTTCATTCTCTATTGCACAGTGAGGATATTCTGAAGATTATCTACACTCACCGGCCACTTTATTAGGTACACCTGTCCAACTGCTCGTTAACACTTAATTTCTAAGCAGCCAATCACATGGCGGCAACTCAGTGCATTTAGGCATGTAGACATGGTCAAGACAATCTCCTGCAGTTCAAACCGAGCATCAGTATGGGGAAGAAAGTTGATTTGAGTGACTTTGAACGTGGCATGATTGTTGGTGCCAGAAGGGCTGGTCTGAGTATTTCAGAAACTGCTAATCTACTGGGATTTTCACGCACAACCATCTCTAGGGTTTACAGAGAATGGTCCGAAAAAGAAAAAACATCCAGTGAGCGGCAGTTCTGTGGGCGGAAATGCCTTGTTGATGCCAGAGGTCAGAGGAGAATGGCCAGACTGGTTCGAGCTGATAGAAGGGCAACAGTGACTGAAATAACCACTCGTTACAACCGAGGTATGCAGCAAAGCATTTGTGAAGCCACAACACGCACAACCTTGAGGCGGATGGGCTACAACAGCAGAAGACTCCACCGGGTACCACTCATCTCCACTACAAATAGGAAAAAGAGGCTACAATTTGCAAGAGCTCACCAAAATTGAACAGTTGAAGACTGGAAAAATGTTGCCTGGTCTGATGAGTCTCGATTTCTGTTGAGACATTCAGATGTTAGAGTCAGAATTTGGCGTAAACAGAATGAGAACATGGAACCATCATGCCTTGTTACCACTGTGCAGGCTGGTGGTGGTGGTGTAATGGTGTGGGGGATGTTTTCCTGGCACACTTTAGGCCCCTTAGTGCCAATTGGGCATCGTTTAAATGCCACGGCCTACCTGAGCATTGTTTCTGACCATGTCCATCCCTTTATGGCCACCATGTACCCATCCTCTGATGGCTACTTCCACCATGTCACAAAGCTCTAATCATTTCAAATTGGTTTCTTGAACATGACAATGAGTTCACTGTACTAAAATGGCCTCCACAGTCACCAGATCTCAACCCAATAGAGCATCTTTGGGATGTGGTGGAACGGGAGA